TAAAATAGATAGAAATTATTTTTATTATTATAAATAATGCTCACCACCTGTGATAAATTATGTAATTAATTAATAAAGGTATTATTAGATGTAGATGTTAAATTATTATAAATAAATCTAAATAGAACTTACCACCTGTGATAAATTATAATGCAATCAATTAATAATTGATTAGCAAAAGGTTATGACATATTATTAGATAATAAAATAGTATGAAATCATAAATATAAATAATACTTACTCCCTATGATAGATTAATTGATTAGGAAAGGTTATGAAATATTATTAGATGCAAAACAGTTTGCAGTTTTGACTTTAATTAGTATAAATAATACTCACCCCCTGTGATAAATTATTAATAGGAAAAGGTCATTAAATATTATTGGATGTTAAAATAGTTTGAAAATATGATTTTAGTTATAATAAATAAATATAAATAATAATACTCACATCCTGTGATAAAAATTATATGATTAGTGAAGGTTACGGAATATTATTAAATGTAAAAATAGTTCAAAATTATAATTTTAATTATTATACTCACCACCTGTAATTAATTAATTAGTGAAAGATATTATTAGATGTTAAAATTGGTTGAAATAATGATTTTTGTTATTGGAAATAAATCCAATAATACTCACATGCTGTGATAAATTAAATACAGTTAATTAATAATTGATTAGCAAAAGGTTATTAAATGTTAAGATTGTTTAAAATTATGATTTTAATAAATAAATCCTCACATGCTTGATAAATTATGATGCAAATTAATTAGTGAATATTATCAGATGTCAAAATAGTTTGAAATTATGATTTAATTATTGTAAATAAATCTAAATGATACTCACACCCTGTGATAAATTATAATGCAAGTGAAAGTGAAAGGTTATGAAATATTATTAAGTTGAAATGAAATATTATTAGGTTGAAATTATATTTCTAATTATTATAAATAATACTTACAAACTGTGATAAATCATTATTGTAAAAGGTTATGAAGATATTATTAGATGTTAAAATAATTTGAAATAATAATTATAAATATATCTAAATAATACTCACCAACTGTGATAAATTACAATTTAATTATTAATAATTGATTAGTGAAAGGTATCATTAGATGTTAAAATGATCATTATAAATAAATCTAAATAATACTCACATCCTGTGATAAATTATAATGCAAGTAATTAATAATTGTTAAGTAAAAAAGTTATGAAATATTATTTTAAGTTGAAATTATGATTTTAATTATTATAAATAAATCAAAATATACTCACAAGCTGTTAATTTATAGTGAAGGTATGAATATTTTTAGATATTAAAATTAGTTTAAATGATGATTTTTAATCATTATAAATAAATTTAAATAAATACTCACAAGCTGTGATAAATATAATGCAATTAATTAATAATAGATTAGCAACAAGAATATTTTAAATAGTTTAAAATTTTAATTATTATAAATTAATCTAAATAATACTTACTCACTGCGATAAATTATAATGTGATTAATTAATAATTGATCAGTGAAATATTATTAAATGTTAAAATATTTTAAATTGTAATTATGATTTTAATTATAATTGTTATATAAATCTAAATAATACTCACAACCTGTGATAAATTATAATGCAATTAATAGTGAAAGAAATATTATTGGATGTTTGAAATATGTTATTTTAATTATTATAAATAAATCTGAATACTCACCCCCTGTGATAAATTATAATGCATTAATTTATAATTGATTAGTGAAAGGTTATGAAATATTATTATATGTAAATCTTGAAATTATGATTTAATTATAAATAAATATAAATAATACTCACGGTCTGTGATAAATTATATTATAATGCAATTAATTAATAATCGATTATTGAAAGGTATGAAATATTTTCAGGTGTTAAATAGACTGCAATTATGATTTTAATTATTATAAATAAATCTAAATAATACTCACACGCTATGATTAACATAATGCAAGTAATTAATAATTGATTAGAAATAGTTATAAAATATTATTAGATATCAAAATAGTATAAATAATACTCACTCCCTGTGATAAATTGTAATTTAACAATAATTTGAAATGGATTAATTAATAATTGATTAATGAAAGGATATTATTAGATGTAAAATAGTTTGAAATTGTGATTTAAAAATTATAAATAAACCTAAATATAAATCCCTCACTGTGATAAATTATAATAAGATTAAGATTAATTAATTATTTATTAGTGAAAGGGCATGAAGTATTCTTAGATGTAAAATTATGATTTTAATTATTATAAATAAATCTAAATAATACTCACTCACTGTGATAAGTTAATTAAATAATTGATTAGTCAAATGTTATGAAATATTATTAGATGTAAGATAGTTTGAATATAATTTTAATTATTTTAAATAATCTAAGTAATACTCACGTCCTGTGATAAATTATAATGCAATTAATTAATAATTGATTATTAAAAATAGTTTAAATAGTTTGAAATTATGAAATTAATTATTATAAATAAACTTATGTAATACTTACTCCCTTTGATAAATTACAAGGCAATTAATTACTAATTGACTAGTGAAAGGTTATGAAATATTATTAGATGTAAAATTGTTTTAAATAGTTTGAAATTATGGTTATAAAAAATATAAGTAATACTCACGCCCTGTGATAAATTATAATTTAATTGATTAGAAAAAGGTTAAACTAGTTTGAAATTATGATTTTAATTATTATAAGTAAATCTAAATAACACTCACCAACTGTGATGAATTATAATGTAATTAATTAATAATTGATTAGTGAAAGGTTATGAATATTATTAGTTGTTAAAATAGGTTGAAATTATGATTTTAATTATTACAGATAAATCTAAATAATACTCACGTCCTTTGATAAATTATAATTCAATTAATTAGCAAAAGGTTATGAAATATTATTAGGTATTTTGATTATAATAAATAAATCTAAATAATACTTACCAGCTATGATAAATTATGATGCAATTAAATAATAATTGATCAGTGAAAAGTTATGAAATTTTATAAGATATAAAAATAGGTTAAAATTTTAATTATTATAAATGAACCTAAATAATACTTACTTCCTGTGATAAATTATAATGAGATCGATTAATAATTGATTGGTGAAAGAGTATGAAATATCATTAGTTGTAAAATAATTTAAATAATTTAAAAATATGATTTAATTATTATAAATAATAAAAATCATGCTTACTCGCTGCGATAATATATAATGAGATTAATTAATATTTGACTAATGAAAGGTTATGAAATAGAAATATTATTAGATGTCAAAAAATAATTTGAAATTATGATTTTAATGTTATAAATAAATCTAAATAATACTCACATTCTATGAAAATTATAACACAATTAATTAATAATTAATAATTGATTTGTGAAAGAATATTGAAATTATGATTTTAATTATTATAAATAGTACTTACCCCCTGTGATAAATTATAATGCAATGTCAATTGATTAATAATTGATTAGTGAAAGGTTATGAAATATTGTTGATGCTAAAATGGTTGAAATTATGATTTTAATTATTATAAATAAATCCAAATAATACTTACCAGCTGTGATAAATTAATTTATAATTGATCGGCAAAAGGTTACGAAATATTATTAGATGTTAAAATAGTTTGAAAGTATGATTTAATATTATAAATCTAAATAATACTCACAACCTGCAATAAATATAAATAATAATTGGTTAAGATGTATATCAATTAATAGTTAATTGCTTAGCTATCCTATCAACACCTTTTGTAATGTCCATAATAACAATTCTATTATCCTTTAAAACAAAACTAATACAGCTTCACATTTTTTTTTTAGCAACTATTATCAAAAAAGGAGTCAGCACTTGTTAAATTTCCTTTTTTGAATTTCGACAGCATAAGATGACTCCACACTAATTTAACTTTAAGTAATTGTTGATACTGAATTTAATACCCACATTTTGTAATATAATGATATGCACAATTGATTCTTGTTCTTAATCCAAATAAGAACTTCCTGCAATGAAATTTAAAAGTCGCAAAATCAAACAAGGACGGGTTTTATAAATTTTATTTTATATATTAAATTGCCGTTCATTAGTACAAAATTTAACGCGACACCACTAATTGGTTATAAGTTAGAAATTTAATTTCACCCAAAAAAGAAAACAAATAAATACGACATCCGCTAGTTAATTGGTTATTGGCTCAAAATTTAATTTCAATATCATTCATCCCAAAAAGTAACACAGATAAACAAACAAATAATTTTTTTATTGAAAATTACACAACTTTATGTAATCACAAACGACAAACGGTAAACTAATATTTTAATTTAATAAAAATTTTATAAAAAAAGAACCCTGGAAATCTTTTTGTTGCAAATTTGTATTTCTCCGAAATTTTTTTTTTTAATTTAGTCATTTGTGCACTCATAATATTTTTACATAAATATAATTTTTATACTGTAACTAATTAACTACACAATTCATGTGACTCAATGACCTACCAATCAATTATAATTATGACCATATGGCCTCTTTGACTCTTTGACTAGAATTATAGAACTGGCCTATGTAGATCCTCTGTAAATCCTTTTAATTTCAGCCAACCTGACCCTTAACTTTGGTCAGTTGACATCAGAGTCAAGAAGACATCTGAGGCACAACATATATACTTATTTTAAAGAAAAGAAAAGAAAGAGAGAGTTATATGTATCAATAGTAATTTAATAAATTGAGACGACTTCAGATAAATTTTAAATTCTAGTGTAAGTATAAATTCGAAATATTTTAATACTCGGCAATTAATCGTAATCAATGGCAATATTTTGAATATCATCAATGAATATTGTCTCACTCAAAAACTTAATCCTTATCCATTCATTATTTAATAATGATTGATCAGATTTAAGTAATTGAATTTTTTAACAAATGTAGGATGGAACCAACAATCATCGGGATCAAAATGATTTACAGGGAGAAGGCGATTCCAATTGTATACAGTGCTCAGTAAATAATTAAATATTTTTATTATTATGATTCAAAATAATTTATTGAATTCATGAATATTTTAATATAGAGATGCTGAATGTGATTTTACCAAAGTTCATGAAATATTTCATCATGGTGCTGTTGTTGATGTTAAAGGATATCTCGGACAGTGTTTAAAATTCAATGTGCGGAGTGTGCGCTTGCATAAAATTCATAAAATTTGAAACTTTGCATATAAAAAAAAGCATCCGCACAAATTTTTCACTTAAAATTCTAAATTATGTGCATTTTAAACACTGATCCCAGAACAACAAAAAGTGCTCAATTATTAATTTATCCAAAAGATATAATATTATTTTCATCCTCAACAAGATCAAGAATCACGTTATCAACAACGTTATTTGGATTTAATAATGAATATTATTTGAACAAAATTATCAATTATATTCGAAGATTTTTAAATAATTTAGGATTTTAGAAGTCGAAACTCCTATGATGACATCTAGTGGAGCAACAGCCGTTTGCTGTTTATCACGCAGATTTTAAGCGTGATATATTTATGAGGATCGCTCCGGAATTATATTTAAAACAATTGCTAATAGGAGTTTATAAGACAGTTTCATAATGAATCAAGTGCTACGACACATAATCGGAATTTACTTCATTGAATTTTACATGATTTATAATTATATTTATGATTTAATGAATATCACGGTAAATTTGGTATCAGGTATGGTTAAAAAAATTATTGGTAAACCAATAATTAAGTATCAATGTAGCAACAACAAACATGAAAAATTTAGAGATAATGGTAAAGATACAACGACGACAAGGTAATAGAAATAGATTTCACCCCATATTCAAAAGAATTGATGTCTAGAAAAAATATTTGTTATAAATTTACGGAAGCAATCAATAAATTTTAGAAAATATTTATTAAACATAATGTTATTTGTAATCCACAAACTAATTCTGATTATTGAAAAAGGTAAGTTTTAATATAACATATCATATGCGCGCATTTTTATAATTGGACCCTTTTTAGGGTCCTCAGATGTTACCAGTCAGCTATTTATTGTTGTTGTTATTGGATATCTGATTGTAAAACGTCAAAAACTGATATTAACAATCGTTCCCACCTCTGTTCCCACCTCTAACCATTCGTTCCCATTATTAAATCGTCAAGTAAGTAAAAATACAAAAAGCCACAAGTTTTTTTACTATATAACTAACTAAATTTATATTTTTTAGTAAACATGAGCACCGAAGCTGATTCTTTATATGCTTCTACTATTCTTACTCCACCATGCTCACCTCATTTACCACCTGCTTTACAAGGATATGTATGAGTGTGCAATTTGCAAAGATTCATACAGAACTAAATTGGGCTTAACACATTTCAAAAATATTGTGCAAAAATATAATATACAACGAGAAGGATTATATACATTACCTTCAGAAGCAATAGCCGATTTCAAAGCATATCTTGTTTATGTTATTCAGAGTAAATTAAAGGAACATTTTTCTCAATCGGATAAACAAACAATTTCTTTTCCTTGTTTAGAAAGTTTATTTTTTGAAGTTTTTAAAGGACATATCCATCACTATAACTATCGTTCTGGCAATTACAAGTGTTTATTTCAAGGTCCAGATGCATATACACAAATATCTACTTTATTTAATGATCAAAATTGGGGTGTAGATTTTTTAATAATAGTCAGCAAACTTTTATCATGTTATTTGATGCACAGGCAGAGGTAGAAGCTAATAAAGAAGGAATTTTTGATTTAAGTGGAAAACGAATTCCAAAAAATCAACTAAAAAAATTTAAGCTACCTAAATTATAATTGAATGGAAATGCAAAAAAAGAATTAATGATGCAAAGAACAATAAAACTTCAGCAGATTATATTTACTTAAATTTTTATGCTCAACAAATTTTTTTGTTATAGAAAAATGCATATATATTAAATTATATTTTATTATATAGATTATATAGATTATAGACTTAAATTTTTTTTGAATAAATGTATTTGTTAATTAGTAACAATAAAAAATAAAAATAAAATATGTTATTTTGTCAATTTAATTTAATAAAATTTTTATTCAAATTTAAATTAAAAAATGTTATTATTAATATTTTTATATTTTATATTCTATATTTTATTAATAAAATTTTTAAAATTATTTTTTTAACTTTTTAATATTAATACGTTGTGGATTTGGATATTTTTTTATAGTGTTTTTTTGAGAAACATATAATGCTCGATTTTCATAATCTAAAATTTCAAAAATAGCAGATTTTTTTTCCATTCCTTTTCCCCATCTTTCATTGTTTTTTAAAAAAATATAGATACTTGATCATGATTTTTTTTTCAACAGGAGAACAAGAAAAGTCACTTAAACTAAATTGATGATGTCATTCCATAAATTCAGGTAAATGATTAATTAAAATATAGATATATGGTGTAAAATCCTTTGGTCAATAAAGTCCCATTTTAAAAGTTATAGTATTAGGTTCACCTTGTGATGGTGTAAGAAATAAATCTAACCATTGTTTTGCTTGATTATAAAATTGAGTTGAATTAGTTTCTTTAAATTTTATAGGTTTGTAAAGTTGATAAAACTCTCGCCATAAATTATTAATTAAAATTGCTCTTTCTTTATCAAAGATAACTTCAAAATTAAAATTTTTCAAAAAAATTTCTTTATCACCTTCCATTAATGATGTAAATTCCCAATTTTGTGTTCCTTGATCTTGCCAAAAATGAAATGAAACTTAAATTCGACACATTTCAGTAATAATTTTTGCTCTTGTTAAATCATTAAATTGATTTTTATTTTGAGTTATTGAATTATTAAACTCCATAATCGATCCCAAATTCTTAACATTATATGAAGTTCATCTGGAATATAATAATCTAAAGAAATTATTGGAAGAAGTGGAGGTTTATTATGACCTGGAGGAGGTTTATGATTGTTAAGAAATGCTAACTTAATTTGATTTATATCTTTTTCAATGGTCCAAACTTATTCTTGTCGTCAATATCTTTTTTTTTACATAAACACCATGGACAGAAATAGTTAGCATTTGCTGAATTAAAACCAAGAATAATTGTCAAAAATTTCCAATCACTACTAAAATATAATATTGGTTCATAATTTTTAAAATCAAAGTTTCAAGCCAGCTTAACACTTCTCTAATCAATTATTGATCAAATGTTTTTTCATATTAATTAATTAGCTTGTAAGTATTTTAATTCATAATTAAATCATGAAAACTAAAGTTTAAACCAATTGACATTAAACAACGTTTCTTAAATTAATTACATGCATATTATTTTATAGATAGTGTGTATTTGATTCATATTTTTGAAAAAAAAAGATTTAAACTAATTTAATAATTTTTTTCTAGCTCGAATGGAAAGTGTAATGAATGTAACCAAAATAATACTGGATCAAATTATTGCAACTCATGTAATAGCAAAAGATTTCAAAGTGAATTTGATAAATGGACAAGTGGAGATAATGAAATTGATGAGCTTGTTCAACAAACACAACTAGAGTCAAACGAATATATAGAAATTATTGAGTGGATTCCATTTGACAGATTTAAGGATGTTGAATGCCTTGCTAACGGTGGATTTGGTATTGTCTATAAGATAACAGGCTTGATGGATGTATTTATAATTGGGATCATGGAGAAAAAAGATGGCTAAGATCACTACCGAAAAATGTTTGTTTAAACTTCTACAAATCAAAGTGCATTTTTAAAAGAGGTAAAATATTTTTATATTATTTAATCTTCATAATTTGAGTAAACAATAATTAATGTTAATTATATTTTAGTTTAAAAATCAACTCAAATTCCAAGATGCAGATGTAGATGCAATCAAAATATATGGAACAACTAAAAATCCATCATGAATGAATATATTGTGGTGGTCTGTCCAGAACAAAGAGTAAAGTTACATCAATAAGCTCCACTAAATCGAACTCTCATCACACCCCTTTTCATACTAACTCAATGTACTCTTGCATGCAATATTTCATAACATCTACTATCCACCAGTAGGATCAAGCAGTCACTTGCCTACTTGCAATGAACAGATATATAAAATAAACTCTAACACAGTACACACAGGTGCGATCTGAAGGTATGTGAGTAAGTGGAGTAAAAGTATCTTTTACAGCTCACTACGCAAACTTTCGAATCTTAGCTTCAGACTTTATTCAGTAACTTTATTCAAGAAATTACAAAATTAGTAATAGAGATATTATGGGATGTTAACTGTTTCTCACCAATATTACCATTGTTATCCATGTAAACCTTTTACAATTTACAAAGACAACAGGGTAAAATAATACTAAACTAATATACAAAACTATATAAAACTATAAAAATACTAATCTCAAGATAAAATAATCACAATAAAAGAGTTTATGTGTAGAAGGAATTAAGTATGATCAATTATGAAAGAGGCGTATTTACTTATTAACAGTGGTATGAAGACTTGTTAATAGGAGCAAACAGTTTATCAATTATCAAAAGAATATAATAAACAAGGAACTCAAAGGATTTTGTAATATTAACTTTATTAC